AAACATCACCATTGAACCACTTTGATGAACAGTTAATGACATGATAATTAGCTTTAGGATACTCTAGGTCATTTTCCAGACCCTATTGTACCTGGGCTGTCTGGCCTATGGACTGGGGAAATCCCCGCATTTTCTTGCAGATTGGCAGGATGTTCCTTCTTACCCCAGGCTTGTCAATTGCTTGAGCAGGATCAAGGTCAGGCAGCACCAAGACAGGGTACCCACCCTTGTACTACTTCTCCACATGTGGCCATTGCTCAAGGTAGCACCAAGGTGGGGCTCCTGTTTTTGTCACTAGGAGAGCTAGAAATCCCTTACTATATCTACCTAGCATTCCCCTTAAAAAACAGTCTGTTCAAAGGATTTGTAAAGAGGTCTTGGGGAGAGGGCATAAAATAGTCTATGGAAGCAACATATAATGAACTTGAGAATTTCCCACTTGGGAAGATATGCTACAATCTCATTCTTCTACTTCAAATCCCCCCAAATGTCAAAAGATATATTTTTAAAATACATAAATAAACATAATGTAAAGCACAAAAAGTGGTGCCCTTAGTGGACCAGAAACTATTATGAACCGTAATAGACAGAAAAAGACAAAATTATATTGAAAGAAATTATGAACGAAACACATGCAGAAAAAAAGGGTTGGGTTGTTTGTTTTGTTTTTTTAAGATAGGAACAGTTCAAAAGTGTTTCAAACAAAGAGATCAGGTGTTTCAGATGCAGGGGTGGCCTGGAGCAAACAATAGACCCAAGGTTGTGCGTCAACCTTGTCACAATTCCCCATACCTTCGCCAGAGGACAAGAAACAAATATGATTTCAGGCACTTGGTAGAGAGAGACAGGATAGTGACCTGGTGACTGAAAACAAACATAAGAAAAGAGAGCTCTAGCAGATCCCACCCTGTTCTATGCCCACGATTAATAGATGACAACAAAATAAGAAGCAATCAGCCTAAGAATTGAAATTAGACATAGGAGCCCACAGATAAGAATAGCCAAGCAATTGAGAAAATCAAAGCCAAGAGAGAGACACCCTCCCCATAGGTAGAAATGACAGCAAAGGTAAGCAGAAAGACGTACAGCTATCATGAACCCATAATAATTAAAAATAAAATTTTTTAGAAAACATACAGAATAGTACTTTGAAGATGTTAACTCATATCCTCAGAAATTTGTGAAATAATATCGCTTCTATAAAAGAGCATCAACTGAAGAATTTAGATTGCAAAAAATGATTATTCAACAAAGTCATTTTACAGTAGAAAACATTGGCAAGCACTGCCTTGGCCAAATGATCAGGGTAAGCATTACCAGTGATAAAGACATGTAGTTAGCAGGCATCCCCTGATACGATGTGATACCTTACCTCTATGATATTACATTACAAAAATGATAATCCCAGATTAATAATGAAGAAAACATCATATAAAATAAGGGACATTCTACAAAATCTTCAATGAGTACTCCTCAGAAGCATCAACATCAGGAAAAACAAGTTTGAGAACCTATCACAGATCTGAGGAAACAAAGGAGACATACATACACCATGTGGTATCCTGGATGGGATGTTGAAACATAAAAAGGATCCTAATGAAATCCAAATACAGTCTGGACCTTAGTTAAAAGTAACACATCCTCTGGTCCATGACTTTTTTCCTTGGAACATGTTTTTATTGCTGTTTCACTTTTGATACTTGATATTGGTCTGGTGTGTTCAGGAATTCTGTTTCTTCCTGATTGAGCCTAGGGAGGCTGTGTGTTTTAAGAATTTGTCCATTTCCTCCACATTTTCAAGTTTATCTGCATAGAGATTTTTATTATATTCAAAGATGATATTTTGTATTTTCATGTTATCAGTTGTGATTTCTCCTTTTTCATTCCTGATTAAGCTTGTTAGAGTCCTTTCTTTTCTGCTTCTTGTTAATCTAGTGAGAGGCCTGTCAATTTTGTTTATCTTTTCAAAGAATCAATTTTTTCTATCATTAATCTTCTGTGTAATTATTTTGTTATCGATTTCATTTAGTTCAGCTCTGATCTTTGTTATTTCTTTTCTTTTGCTGGGTTTGGGATGGGTTTGTTCTTCCTTTTGCAGTTCCTTGAGATGATTCATTAGATTGCTGATTAGTGATCTTCCTAACTTTTGGATGTAGGCATTTATAGCTATGACTTTTCCTCTCAGGAATGCTTTAGCTGTATCCTATAGATTTTGATAACTTGTATCCCCTTTATCATTTAGTTAAAAGAATCTTTTGATTTCCATCTTAATTTCCTCCTTGACCCAACCATCATTCAGCAGCAGGTTGTTTAGTTTCCATGACTTTTGACTTTGTGCAGAGATGAATGCTTCTGTTGAAGTTGATTTCTACTTTTATTCCACTGTGGTCTGAGAAGATGCATGGCATAATTTCTATTTTTTAAAAATATGTTCAGACATGTTTTGTGGCCTAGGATAAAATCAATCTTAGAGAATCTTCCAATAAAAAAAAATGTCTAGACCAGATGGTTTCACACTCAAATTTTACCAGACCTACAAATAAGAACTAATACCTATCCTGTAGAAATTATTCCATAACATCAAGAAGTAAGGAATCCCTTCTAACACATTCTATGAAGCCAATATCACCTTGATACCAAATCTAGAAAAGGATACTGCAAAAAAAAAATACAGACTAATATCTGTTATGAATATAGATGCAAAAATTCTCAATAAAATACTAGCAAACCAAATTCAGATTCTCATCAAAAAAAAAAAATAATTAACCAGAACCAAGTGGGCTTCATCCATGAGATGCAAGGATGGTTCAACATATGTAAATCTATAAATGTATAATAATTCACCACATAAATACAATTTTAAAAACAAAGGCCATATGATCCTCTCAATAGAAACAGAAAAAGCATTTGACAAAATTCAGCACCGTTTTATGATAAGAATGCTTAACAAAATAAGCATAGATAGGAATTATCTAAAAATTATAAAAGCCATATATGACAAACCCACAGCCAATAGCATACTAAATGTGGAAAAATGAAAGCACTCCTGCCTAGAACTGGAACCAGACAAGGTTGCCCACTGTCACCATTTCTGTTCAACATAGTGCTGGAAGTCCTAGCCAGAGGAATCAGACAAGAGATGGAAATTAAGGGTATCCAAATGGGGAAAAAGAGGTCAAACTATCACTCTTTGCTAATGATATGAGTCTATACCTAGAAACCCCCAAAGATTCTGCCAAGAAACTCCTGGAATTGATAAATAAATTCAGCAAAATCTCAGGCTACAAATCAATATACACAGTAGCATTTATATATACCAACATTCAAGCTGAAAACCAAATCAAAGACTCAATACCTTTCACAATTGCAACAAAGAAAATAAAACAATACTTAGGAATATATTTAACTAAGGAAGTGAAAGACCTCCAAAGGGAGAACTATGAAATGCTGAGGAAGGAAATAGTAGAAGATAGAAACAGATGGAAAAACATATCATTCTCATGGATTGGCAGAATCAATATTGTTAAAATGTCTGTACTACCCAAAGTGATCTACAAATTCAATGCTATCCCCATTAAAATACCAACATCATTTTTCACAGATGTTGAAAAAATAATTCTACACTTTGTATGGAACCCAAAAAGACCCCGTATAGCCAAAGCAACCGTAAGCAAAAAGAACAAATTGGGAGACATCAATTTACCAGACGTCAAGCTATTGTAGCCTTGTAGCTACAAGGCTACAATAACAAAAACAGAGACATATACCAATGGATCAGAACAGAGAACCCAGATATAAAATCATCCTCATATTGCCATCTGCTCTTTGACAAAACAAGCAAAAACATATACTGGGGAAAAGAATCTCTACTCAATAAATAGTGCTGGGAAGATTGAATAGCCACATGCAGAAGACTGAAACAGGATCTGCACTTCTCACCACTCACAAAAATTAACTCACAATGGATAACAGACTTAAACCCAAAACATGAAACTATAAGAATTCTAGAAGAAAATGTAGGGAGAACTCTTATAAACATCAGCCTAGGCAAATAATTTATGAAGAGAACCCCAAAAGCAATCACAGCAACAACAAAAATAAATAAATGGGACCTGATCAAATTAAGAGTGAATAGATAACCTGCAGAATGAGAGAAAATATTTGCAGGGCTAATAACCAGAACTACAAAGAACTCAAGCAAATCGGCAAGAAAAAAAATCAAACAATCCCATTAAAAAGTGGACAAAAACATGAATAGAAACTTATCAAAAGAAGATCGACTAATGGCCAACAAACATATTAAAAAATGCTCAACATCTCTAATCATTAGCGAAATACAGATCAAAACCACTATGACATATTACTTAACTCCAGTGAGAATAACTTTCATCAAAAAGTCCCAAAACAACAAATGTTGGCTTGGATGCATAGAGAAAGGAACACTCATACACTGCTGGTGGGACTGAAAACTAGCAGCACCTCTATGGAAAATAGTATGAGAACCATGAACATTAGATCAGAATATACAAACCTATTCCTGTAGGAAATTTGCAATCAAAGGAAAGGAAAAACTCCTATAGGTCCATAAAATGCAAACAGTAATAATGCTAATAATAAACCAGCATACTCCCATAAATATTAATGCTGAATCCTTTATTGAGGAAGACATGATCTAGCCTTGGGTCTCATATAAAAATTTTTGATTGTTTCAAAAGAAAAGCAACATGACTTGACAGAGACAAGTGGAAAGTCATTTATAGACAAGAAAGATGAGAACATTTTGTGTTCCTTTGAAATGAAAAATTCAATCGAGAGAATCCTTAGAAAATGAAAAATAGGATGGATGGCTCTAAATGCATATTCCTACCATTGTGATTTTTTTGAGTAGATAAGAACAATATACACACTTGATCAACTTGTTAGTTCCATTTCTCTGGTACAGCCACAATTGTGTTTGGGTTCAGCATAGCACAACTGCATGTTTGTTCTTCACTGTACAGGTTTTATGAAAGACTACCTGGGATAAGTATTTGATATGCTGCTCTGTATAAAAGAGAGACTCCTCCACATTCATCATATCATGATGTGGTCATTTTGTCTACAAGGAGAAGATTGCAATGCAGGCTGGTAAGTGCACGCTATTGCATTATTGAACCAAAACCACTGCATACCTCGTTTTATCAGTTCATACAACATTAACCATTAACTCTGGATTTTATATAAGGCCAGTATAAATGATATACTGCATCTGGATAAACTATCTTGCCCTTTCCTATTTTAAAAAAATGGGGACCAAGAGCAGTTATTCATGATTTAGGAGAGAAGATGTTTCTACCACTCAAACACTGGGTTCTTTAATTGCACCTCCATCCAAATCCGCTCTTCTGATTAAAACATTTCCAGCTCCATCAACCTTTCCAGTAATATGACCCTAAGCTTAAAACATGTCTAATTGAATAACATGAATAATATATTGAAATCTGGTTGTACAAATGGAAGCTATCAATCAGAAAACCAGTTTTATTCAATTAAACATGAAGCCCATCAACTAGAAAGTGCTGGGCAAATACATGAGAACATAATAATGATTAGTTAATCACTCTAATAACCAGTCATAATAATATCCCTAATATCCTAAAATCATGCTAATAACCACATAGAAAATTTTTGTGAAACCACAAAAATTTCATGTGAAAGATCAAGTAAACACAGCCACATGTTGCACAAAGCAGGAAAAAGAGGAAAAAATTGTTTCAGTTTATTCCTATCTTCATTTTAGACCTATAAAAGGTTAATCCTAACCCAAACATTGACTCTTTCTCCCACGTGCAATCACTTTCCCTATGGCACGCTATAAAAGATTGCTCTAATCATTGGTGAGCTGTTATTTAACAACTGTGGAGTGTTAGACTAATATTTATTATCAAGTTCTTCCTACTTCCAGAAGCTTTTAAATGTTATTTAAATAAGCATCTGGATATGAAAACAGGAGGAAAATAGTGATATTCCAAACTCCAAATTGGGAGAGAGATTTGAGGATAACTGTGACTTACCAAGGAATGTTTAAAGGATACCATGTAAATGCAACACTTGAGCTTTTGTTGTCCTTGAAAGGTAGGCAGTGGCATAGCAGTGAACTTTTTGGGTCTAAATTCTATTTTCTACTCAAATAAAATACTACCTTGTTCTAAAATGTAATGTATTGCTTCAAAAGTATCTTACCTATTTCAGTAGGATAGAGTTAAAATAAGTATATTAAAATTTATATCTTATACTAAAATATATTTATACTTTAAAAATTAAATGAAAAATATTTTTATTACTTTTAAATTATTTTCTCATTAAAACCCACAGCAAGAACTATGAAGACTTCTTTCATATTTTGGCATTGTTAAAATAAAATCTTAAAAGAATATGGATCTGGATCATGAAATCCATTCAAATTGTGCTTTAACAAAAAAGGCACTTAAAAGATACTCACAGAATAAAATTATGTTATGCAGGAGAAAAGTTTCTGAATCAAAATGAGAAAATCCATTGTCTAGTTAGCTTTCAGCTCCTAGAAACTTAAAACACTTATCTGAAGAAGATATCCTTAAAGCTATAAATTGTGTCTGTGTGTGTATATGTGTGTTCACAATATATCTCATTTGGAAATAAACAATATTTAATAGTATTATAAAAGCAGCCTTTTCCATCTTCAGATATAGGATAGACCCATGATTTAGTTTAATAAATTTATAAATGAATTTTAATAATTTCCTAATAGAATTACAAATCAAATTTCATACCTTTTAAAGTCTAAAGTCATCTTGACCTTTCAATAGAATTTAATCTTGGATGATTAAATTTATTTAAGCCTTGCCAAAATATAACACTAAACTGGAGGAAAAGGTCTTCAGGAGGGAGGAACAAGCTTCTAAAGGTTATAAAGCAACAGAGTAATTTTCATAAACATATTTTGAAGATGTTTAATTAAATCAAAAAGCAGTTTTAATTTTCCTCATATTATACCTAAATTATAACAATTATGGAAGCTTGTACAGACAACAATAAATTACTTGGTCAAAACATTGACAAATCAAAATGCAAATGAACTATTATTTTGAAAACAATCATAAAACTTAACTCTAGAATGCAAATTAAAAACCATAATTTTTAAGTGGGCACACAAATATTGAGGTCCAATCTCTATAAAGAAGTATAGCTCATAGCTATAAATTTGTACCACTTAGTATGAAAGTGGATGATTATTTTCTATGTGCATTAAATATGCAGTATGATTTTTGCCAATTGATGGATCTCTGCATAAGCTAACTGATGTGAAAAACAAGGCAGCAAACATAACAAAAATGAAATCATTCTATTTACTTAATGAACAAAATTTAGCACTTTTACAGAGTATCAATTTAGTTTCCTTAAAACTCTATATACAGCCAGATGAGAGGGGAGAGGAGGGAATGCGTATATACATATATAACGAATGCAATGTGCACCATCTAGGGGATGGACACACTTGAAGCTCTGACTCCGGGGCGGGGGGCGTAGGCAACACGTGTAACTTAAGCATTTGTACCCCCATAATATGCTGAAATCTTTTTAAAAACTCTATATACATGTGGTTTTGTAGTTTGCTTCATTCTCGGGTTAACTCTCCGTTCAACTTAAAGTATCCTCAGAGATGACTTTCCTGATCACCTACTTCTTTCTCTTTATTCCCTCTTTGTTCCCTTCATGATGTTAATTCCACTTGTGTCCACTTATTTTTCTTATTAATGGATTCTAAAATGCACTTTATTCCCCTCTATGACCAAAGACACCACATCTTTCTTGTTTCCTGCAGAATTCTCAAGTCAGTATTTATTGGAAAAGTCATTGTTTATTTTTAAACTTCAAATATGATTACAAAACAAATGTTCACACTTAAAACCCTAAATGAGTGACAATTGCGTCATGATTCTGGGCTAAAATAGTTACTTTTATAGAATGTACCTTATAAAGCTTATTTCTGTACATGTCTCTGACATCTCGCTCCAAGATTTAATATCATGGCATGCACTGATTTCAATAGTTCACAAATTAAAGCTATAAGCCCTGACCAGATTTTTACAAGGTAAAGTAAAATACTGCTGCAGATGCTTATTTTGTTTTTTTCTTTCTTTACTACCTTAATTTTCTAGGATCATGTACTTCTCAGAAAGAAGCCCCTTGCAGAACTAACCTGGAACCCACCATCCCCGTAGCCTGTGTGAACACGGAACCAGGACACCCCCAAAACTCCCAACAGATTGTACTCAGGGCTTTTCTTATCGCCCAAGGCCAGTGGGCATTGGCAGCTTCCCCCTCTCAGCACCTGGGACAGTGAGAGAAGGCACCTGCTGCCATGAAGAACACATGCTTTAAGGACAGACTTGCTGGGCACCAAGTCATGGAAGGGCACAGTTGAGGCAGGCCCCTGCCCACCCACAGCCTCATGAGCTGTCCTTGTCTCCACTGCTCTTCTGGTTCCTCTACAGAATTATCAGTATATTAAAGGCAGTAACCATGTAATATTGTTTCCCACAATTCCTGATACTGACACAAAATAAAATCTATTGATTGGCCATGAAAAAAACTTTGCCTGGGACTCTGTTTTACATTATGTCCCAAGGTTGGTTTATATCTATAGGTCCCTTTTGCAAGTTATGTTTCTACTATAAAATACCTCCCATCACAGTAAAACCATGACATAACTACAGGGTGTACAAAATCTTGTGGCCTGATACCAGTCTGCCTATCTCTGTCTCTTTCCACTTCTTGCACCTTATATCCATCCTCTGGACACACTGTGCTCTCCAATTCTAAATAATTCTAAGGATGCTCCCCAGTATGCCAAGCTCTCTCCCCGCTCCTCACCTTCACACTTGTTCTTCCATCTGCTAAAATCCTTCTATCATCTGCTCCATCTGACAAGCCCTACTCATCTTTCAGATCTCAGCTCAATTGTTGAGATTTTTAACGTGGCTCACCAAGCAGCACGAGCTACTTCTCCCTTGCTCTCCCTAAATGCTGTGCTGTCTCCCATTGTATCAATTACTTTACTGAATCACAGTTTTGAAGTTTCCATTGATATATGCTCAAGCTCATAAATTACCTATCATTAGCATTCAAAATGTCTATTGCACGTTATGTCAGAAAAAGTCAAGCAGATCATAATAGGAAAAGGCCACTCTCATTTATCTAGACTTTCACATTGCTGCATCAATTTTATACCTGAAGGTGCTCTCAAAACAATTATTTAATATTTGCATAACAAAGTCTAGTGGTCAAGTACTCTGGCTGTGAAGTCTTAAGAATTCAGATTTCCTATCCAAATATCAACATTTATAAAATATCTAATCAAATAAGGAACCTAAACTATTTAATCAGTAAAATAAGAAAAAAAGTAATCACTAGCATTTATTGAGTATTTACTATATTCTAGGCACTGTTCATACATTAACTCATTTAATCTTCCCAATAACTCTGTGAGGTAAGTGTTCTTATCCTATGTTATAGATGAGAAAACTAAAGCACAAAGAGGCTGGAAAAATTCATCAAAGACACAGAGCTTATAAGTGGTAGATCCAGAATTCTAGCTCCAGGCAGCCTGGCTCCAGAGCCCACCACTTAAATTTGACAATATACTGGTTCCTTACCATAATATTGCCATAGTGTGAGGATTAAAGGAAATAATGCAAGTACATAGTATATAGAAGGTACATACTACATAGGCAGTACATAGTAATTTCTACAGATGCAGGTTATGCTTTTCATATTAACAGTTTAATTTTGCTTCTTACCTCCAATACCAAGTATTGATAATTTTGCATTTTTATTTAATGCTAAAAATGATGAATTCGGAATTGCTTTTGACAAACTTGGCCCTAAAAAGTATTCATACATGCACATTATTTAAACTATGTCCAATTAATTCAGTTCAATTAAATCTAAATAATTTAAATGAAAAACATAAGCCAAAGCATCAATTAGTTCTGTTTAACAAATTATTTCCCTTTTCTCTAATGTAGCATGATCTCTCATAGTATCTCCAACGATTTGAAATTTGAGTTCACTTTTAGAAGTATTACAACTCACAGACGGCCATGAAAGCATAATTTCTCTAAAATTATTATTATAAAGTCTTTCCCAAGTTGGTCTCAGTGATGGGTCAGAATTAGAAAGTTCATGTGATTCAAGGTTAGAAGTGTGATAATTACAATAGGATGTCGCATTGGAAAACAAGTGTTGCTGGAAGCACAACAGAAGAGAGCATTCTTCAGCTACGTGACCAAACTCCCTGGAGAAATCAAGCAACCCAGCAGCCTCATCTCAGATAATTGCAGCACTGGAATCTCTGCGCAGAAGAGTTTTATTCCCACACTCACAGGGTGTGCCCTCTTGGAACAAAATATATGTCAGCAAAAAGCAGAAATAGCACCAGGAATCCCTTCCACAAGCATTTCTATGGTAGGAAGGAAGAGATGAAAGATGGAAGTGTTTCCACAATCTCAAATTTAAACTCACACACAACTGAATTACATAACTGCAACTAGACTATCAGTACTGTTTCAAAGATTAGAAGAAAGACATTTCAAAATATTTTATGTAATAGAAGCTACATAGAGTAATCAATTATTATATGACCAATATATAAACAAATCATTCTATGCAAACAAGTTAATTGTAGGTAAAAAGAAATCTGTGTAAAGGTTTTGAGTTGTAGTCGTTTTGAACTAAAGTCATTAAACACAAGACTGAACTTGTAAATAGTTCCATGTCATTTATCAAAACATAAGGATTGTAAATGCCAAATTAGTTATGTAATTTATGAAAAAATTACATAAAGCAAGCAGAGATATGCAGTTTATACAGTAGTGAAGCAGCAAATTTTGATTGGGAAAGGAAACGAAGCAGAAGTCAGGCCACTTGCATTCTGATCCCAGGTGTATCACTTAAAAGCCTATAAGTCCTACACTGAAAAATACATTTTTCTCTCCACTTTTTGCCTTTTAAAATGAATTGAATATCATCCTATGATTGTAATGCAAAATCACATTCAATAAACAAATACAGTGCAATAGGAAATACTTGTTTTGAAGACCTGGTTAAATAATTTTCAAACTAATAAGTGGATTTTATATGAGTGGTGATAGAAGATCTAAGCTCTCCATTTATTACTCATGTTTGTTCTTATTCCATTTTTGGCATTCTATTCCACATTGCTAAATGGAGTTGGAGAATAAAAGCAAACATGTTCAATATTCAATATTCAATATGCTTGAAAATAATAAATATATAGCTATTTAAGGATTTAAGAATATTATTTTGATTTTCATCAGTTTACTATTAAGAAAAAAATTTGTTTTTTTCTAAACAGAATTTTTATCCTATCCTGTATTAGTTGGTAGTGCCATCCTCAGTCCATTTAACCAAACAAGCTAGATACACACAGGTATCATCAATTCCTCCCTCTCCGTCATACTCCATAACCAACCAAATCAGCTTGTCATGTTATATTCGAATTCCCAAATAGAATACTTCCTCATTCTTATTCTTTCCACTGCCCTAACGTCTTCACCATGTCTCAATTGTCTTTCGGCAGCAGTAGCTGCACAAGTAAATTCTCTTTCTCTGCATTTGTCCGCTTTACGCAACTACCACAGTGATTCATCTAAAACACAAAGCTGACCCACTCGAATCCCTGATTAAATTGATGTGAATGACTTCCCATGGCTGACGGGATCAATCACAACCTCTTTAATATGTTACTCAAAGGCCTTTATGTTCTAATCCCAGACTGACTCTCATGATGGCGGATACTGCTTATATCTGGCTCCCCGTGGTATCCACAGTGCCCAGTAAAGTTCCTGAAGAATAATAAACATCACTTAATATTAAATCAATTAAATAATAAAAATCACCTAGTAAACTTTGTCGACTGAATATATGCAGAAATGAATAACTCTGTTGGTCTCATTTCTGCCACTCCCTATTTAGCAATTTGTTCTCCAACAAGATCAAAGAGCTTCTAATTCCCACACAATCTGGGCTGTTCGAGCCTGCGGTTTCTTCCCCTGGTCGTTGCCTGGTTAGTCCTTTCATATGCACCTGGAACACTGGCTACTCCTGGAAGCTTTCCCCAAATCCTCCTCACTTCATCTGGGCTCCCAAAATACCCTGCAAAAAATCTTTATAACTGAAGTGAAGATCACATGAGTTATAAATCACATTCTTATTCCCAACATTTGTCTCATGCCTAGAACACAGAAGTCCCCAACAGCTGGAGCTGTTATGTAATAAATGGATGACGAATTCTAATCTGAATGTCATATAAGTGTGTGTGTGTATGTGTGTATAATGTGTATATACATATATCTTATTCAATATTTCGCCAAATGTGTTTCTTCATAAAGTTGCAGCATTCTATAAAACATAATTAAATGCATAAATTTTGATTTAACATCTTCAAAAATAAGTTGCTAGGCTTTGATTTACCACAATCTAATTTTTGTCAAAGATTCACCACCTCTATTTTGATCAGTATGAGTTGACCATACAAACTATCTATAAGGTAATTATATCATTTAAAATAAGATAATTTAAAAAGTGCTATGAAATAAAGGTAATACTATACATTAAATTAGTATTGCTATTAGATATTTAACATGTCTTTCATTTATCAGACATGTAGATATGATCTTTATTTGGCTGCTCTACTAAATTCATTTCAGTTGCTAACCACAGATTCACCTAGACCCAGATTGGGATATACACAGCATTCTACATTGACTGGAGTTTGGAATCATGCTGAAGTCTCTTAATTTTATAGTAAGCTGATAATGTCTAAAATGTCTGTATATGTAAATACATACAAACACACAATAGTGAAAAGCACAGAAATGACAGACATCATAGGGTATTATACTTTCATGTATAAAAGAACATATGATTTTCTAGTAAATTCAAAGTTAATATTAATTTCTTTCATAAGTAGTCACCAAACACAATATTAATAAGGGAATTTTACTATATACTTAATGGATATATTTTTCAATAAAAAATTAAAGAACATAAATGCATTTTTATATTTTCTCAAAATGCCTACTAATAGAAAGATTAAAGGAACATTGCATTTAACCATTTATCCAATGCTTTTTACAAATATTTTTGAGCATATGTTATGTGCAAGGAACTGGAGTAGACACTGGAAATAGGAGAAATACAAAGATTGTCATTATATTTTTAAATAATTTCTGTACCCCCAAAAGTTTATAATTTATAGAGATATTATTTGTGGTCTCATCATGTACAGAATTAAATATAGGATAAGGCATTTGAAACTTATTTTGTAACAAGTTTTAAATCACAGCTAATTTATGAGCTTTAGTTTAATGAATATCTAGAAGCAATATAGAAAATAATTTGAAGGGGACAAGACCAGCCAGAACACAACTGCACTAGTTCAAGAACAAAACAATGAAGGTCTGTGGCTAAGGGTTAAATATTAAAGATTGGAAGATTATGACCTACAAGAACTTTTTTCTTATTATATGTTGTTGCATAGGAACAAAAATCTT